CCCTGTTTGCAGATGATATGATACTATGCATAGAAAACCCTAAAGACTCCACGAGAAATCTACTGGAACTAATAGAAAGATTCAACAGAGTAGCAGGATACAAGATAAACATACAAAAATCAGTTGGACTCCTATACACCAATAAAGAGAACGAAGAAAAGGAAATCAGGAAAACAATACCATTTATAATATCCCCTAAAAAAATAAAATACTTAGGAATAAATCTAACCAGGAATGTAAAAGGCCTATACTAAGAAAACTACAAAATAATAGTGCAAGAAACCAAAAGAGACCTACATAAATGGAAAAACATACCATGCTCATGGACAGGTAGACTCAACGTTGTGAAAACGACAATTCTACCCAAAGCAATATACAAATACAGTGCAATCTTGATCCAAATACCCACAGCATTCTTTAACGAGATGTAAAAACTAATCATTAACTTTATATGGAAAGGGAAGAGGCCCTGGATAAGTAAAACACTTTTGAAGAAGAAGAATAAAGGAGGAGGATTCGCACTACCTGACCTCAGAACCTATTATACAGCTACGGTAGTCAAAACAGCCTGGTACTGGTACAACGACACATTGACCAATGCAACAGAATTGAGAAACCAGATGTAAATCCATCCATGTACAGTCTCTTGATCTTCGACAAAGGCCCAAAGTCCATCAAATGGGGAAAAGACAGTGTTTTTTAACAAATAATGCTGGCAAAACTAGATGTCCATGTGCAAAAAAATGAAACATGAGCCATACCTCACACTATACACAAAAAATAACTCAAAATGTATCAAAGACATAAATAAACCAAAAACCATAAAGATCATAGAAAAAAAATAGGGTCAATGCTAGAGGCCCTAATACACGACATTAACAGGATAGAAACCATAACTAACAATACACAAACACCAGAAGACAAGCTAGATAACTGGGATCTTCTAAAAATTAAACCCTCATGCTCATCAAAAGACTTTACCAAAAGAGTAAAAAGAGAAACTACAGACTGGGAAAAAAAAAAATTTCTGGATATGACAAATCTGGCAAAAATCTATCTCTAAAATTTACAGGAAAATCCAACACGTCTACAACAAAAAGACAAATAATTCAATTAAAAAATGGGCAAAGGATATAAACAGACACTTCACCAAAGAGGACATTCAAGCAGCTAACAGATACATAAAAAAATGCTTGCAATCACTAGCCATTAGAGAAATCAAATCAAAACCACAATGAGATACCATCTCACACTGATATTTCTGGCATGAATCAAAAAAAAAATAAAAACAGAAAATAACAAATGTTGAAGAGGCTTCAGGAAGACTGGAACTCTTATGCAGTACTGGTGGGAATGTAAAATGGTACAACCATTTTGGAAAATGATATGGCGCTTCCTTAGAAAGCTAGAAATAGAAATACCATAAGATCCAGCAATCCCACTCCTAGGAATATATCCTAGATAAATAAGAGCCATCACATGAATAGACACATGCACACCCATGTTCATTGCAGCATTCTTCACAATAGCAAAAAGATGGAAACAACATAGGTGCCCATCAACAGATGAATGGATAAACATACGCACAATGGAACACTACACAAGGATAAAGAACAATGATGAATCTTCGAAGCAGCTCACAACATGGACGAATCTGGAGGGCATTATGCTGAGTGAAATAAGTCAATCACAAAAGGACAAATATTGTATGAGACCTCTATTGTAAAAACCCATGAAAAAGTTCACACACAAGAAGAAACAATCTTTGATGGCTAAACACTAAATAGACAATAGATAAGTGGTAACTTTGGTGAAGGGTAAGACAGTACACAATACAGGGGAAACCAGCACAACTTGTCCAAGAGAAGGTCATGGATGCTCCATAGACATATCCAAACTCCCTGAGGGACCGAATTACCGGGCTGAGGGCTATGGGGACCATGGTTTCGGAGAACATCGAGCTTAATTGGCATAGCATAGTTTATAAAGACAATGTTCTACATTGTACT